AATGGAAAATATTATGAATAAAACTAATGGTCTTATTATTAACAAATCAATGCCATTATTAGTGAACACTAACAATGCAATAGACAGTTGGGAACCAATTAAAACAGTTATTTTCGAAATGCTTTATTGCATTATAACTTATATTTCAATTTGTTTTGTATTTCTATTATTCACACATTTTTTGTATATTTAAAAATATGTTTTAATATTTGTTCATTAATTATATTGAATATAACAAAACAGTTTATGCTTTAATAATAATATATATAATAATAATAATAACTATAATAATTAAGTGTTAAACTTATCAACTATTTTAGAGACAATTTGTTTGTTTACTGAAACGCGAAATATATCTTATATTTGCAATCAATTGCTTAATAATTGTTAAGAAATATAACGAAAATCTAAAAACTCATTTGAAATCTGTTTTTTGTAAAAACCTTTTTCTTTCTCTTTCTTAAAAGCTATACATTATATCTACTCTTAAATACACTATTGATTTAATATATATTTATTTAAATAGTGTAACGGTTTTTATAAAAACACACAAAAATCTAAACATTTTTGTGACATTTGCCTATCGTTTATGACAACAACAAAATACTAACAAAAAAGTTTTCATACTTTGAAAACAGAAATGCTTTTAAAAATTTAAACGGTTTTTATAAAAACACACAAAAATCTAAACATTTTTGTGACATTTGCCTATCGTTTATGACAACAAAAAAATACTAACAAAAATGTTTTCATACTTTGAAAACAGAAATGCTTTTAAAAATTTCTTTTTGTAACTATATTTTCACTGAAATAAACTGTTTATTAAATCTATTCTATAATTAAAGACTTTTCTGTTTTTTGAATGACTGCCAAAAATTCTTGTCTTTATTTACTAATACTTAACATAATATTCTGACATAAATTCTGTGCATATGTTTCACTCCTATTAACGCATATATAATCTCTATTTCACTTCAAAATTCTGTCTTCATTTTCATTCACTAATACTATTTTACTGACGCTTAAAAACTGACGACTAGTTTTGGTAAATGAATGGCAATTATAATTTCGATTGAAAATTAATACAAAAATACTTTTTTGTTTGAACGCAAACTTTGGCGTCGATTCTCGCCATTGGATTAGGTTTTTGGTTACGAATAGACGGTTAGACCATAAAAGGCCCGTCAGTTGTATAACAATGAGCGCAACGAAACCCATTGCCATCGATCGCGAACTCAAGACCAGCGCTAGCGATGACCCGCCGAAGGCCTCGTCTGTCGGCAGTTCCCTTTCGGAACGGATGGCGGCTCTCAAACGCAACGGCGAAGAGAATTGGAAGAAACGGATCCAAAAGTGTGACGAACCCGATGTCGAGCTTAGAGTCCCCACTAATGGCCACTCGAATAGGAAGCGAGCGACCAGTATTGCTGACCGGCTGTCACTGTTGGAGGACTCGAGCGTGAAGTGGAGGAATAGAGTGCAGGAGAAGGACGTCAAACAGTTTACAATTGAGGGCAAAATGTCCGAAACAGATATCGCGGTCACCAAAACACCTGATATTCAACGCAAGACACCGAAAGCCAAAACATTTCGCAGTGAAAATACCGCAGAAATGCTGAACTCGATGTTGAAAAAGGATCGCTCGCTTGGAGTGCCTAAAGTGGTCACCACTTCAGCCGACGGCGACGACAACACTTCTATTGATACTCAAAGTCGATGTCCTGCGAGCTCTTCGTCTAATAAAGAAGTTGTTGTTTCCATACTTAAGACAGACGACGAAGACTTTCAATCATTCTTTGCCATTGAATCGAAAACTAACGGAACTAATGAGACAATTACTGATGAATCGTTGGATAAGATTGGTGTCGGAGTATCTGATCTGTAAGTGTTGTCACATTTGTCACACCTATTTATAACTTATTTATGCGTTTGTAATATTATAAGTAGTGAATGTATTGCTATCAGTCATTGTATTAGATAGCAATAGCAATGGTAATAGCAATTTAAATGTAACTAGTTTAGTAAGTTTATTGCCCACCATGCATATTTAGGCAATTTTTGTATTTATTATGTTGACTATAAATAATTAAAAATGACTGCAATTTACAGATTAGTGCAAAAGAGAGCTGCAGTTCGGCCGCAATCGAGGCGAAGGACTTCAGCCAATCCTATCAGAAGCCTATGCGCCAGAACTGACTTTACGGTCGAGTCTTATATTGAAACCGAAAACAATAACAATGAAAGTAATGGCAAAACAGACAGCGCTTTGAAACCAAAGAAAACCAAAGATTTAGTGAAATC